GTAACTAACATAAGCGGCATTTTTATTCGAAATTAGGTCGGATGCAAGTTATGGAAAAGGGTTAACTGCACCTTTTCAAACTGAATTCTTCCTCTTTCCTAAATATCAGGGGGGGGGGAGTTTCCTTATATTTTCTTATATAGAATTTCTATGTTTTGAACGTTTTATGATTAAATCGATCCTTTGGGGTTCAACTTCAAGAATCTGTAAACAATTGCAAATTTGCAAAAATCCAAATGATAATTGCAAAATCTAGTTTTAAAGAGTTTTCGATCATAAAGTTAGAAAAAACTGAAAATTCACTTAGAAGGAATGTGTGTGCATGTAAAACTTTTAAAGTGCAAGCTATCTGCTTGACAAACAGCTATATGAAATGTTAAAATTCAATGACGGTATCAAAGTTGGTCTAGATAGAGACAAAGTTTGGTCTGGGTAATTAGGTCTCAGACCTTAGGCAGTGGGTAAAATCAATTAGCTTTTATCCTCAAGTGATGGGNTCTTATTAATTACTAGCTTGAAAACCCAGCGTTGCTTGAAAACAATGTTTTCTTTATTAGAATCAGATCTGCTGAATTTGATTAATTAAACCATATGGCATGCTTATCAAGCTGACCCATCTTGTCTTTTTTTAGGAAGCATCTCTGCAACAGCAACAGCAAATAATGGTTGGGGAGATGCATCAATGACAGAAATGAATTTCCAAAAACAAAATTTGATACTTCTGACTTTGATTATTTGGCCTATTAGAATTATTGTTTGAAATATGAAAGATCTGGAGCATCAGGTTGCAAAGGTATAAGGATTAAAAGATAAGAAAAAGTAAAAAGCTGGAACAAACAAGGTTAATAATGTTGCCTAGAATTGGATAAATCCTGCCTATATAATTTTTGATGAACGATGAGTTTTAAAGCATTGAATATCCTTGCAGGATTAATGAAAAACTTTTATTAAAATCTCTTTAAAAACTTTAAGGTATAGCAGGATTCAGTGAAAATGTTTGCAACCGAAAAACCATATTTTTGAATGAAATCTTAAAATTATCTAAATTGCCATTCAAAGATAGCAATGGCCGAATCACAACAGTCCCCTTCACCCCGGACTAACCAGAGTTTCTTCTATTTGAAATCATACGCCTTTTGGTTTATAATTTAACAATCTTTAAACTTATAACGTATATGCCGGCAAAAAAGTATCCAAGAAAAAAAGCTGAAAAATTATGTTTAATAGGACATTCATATTCAAAATATATAGTCCGTCCAACAAAAAAGTATAAAGTACCAAATACCAAAAGCTTCATTTAACCGGTGCACAAGTCACTTTTGTAGAGAAACCACAATTGAAAATAATCAGTTTTCCAAATTATATTCCTAGATATATCTATTTCATACTTGGTTGCAGACAAAGCTTTAAGGGCACCGTTGTGAATCGGGCATTGTCATCTTTGATGCATGGATGGACACTTTTTTGGACCTTTCAATGTTTAAGCAGAAATCTGAGAGATATTATTAAATTTCTAAATTGATGATTCAAATATTAGTTTTCCTTGCACTTTGTCAAATTTTGATCCTTAGAGAGGATCCATGGAAATAAAACGACAGCCTTTTTGCTAGGTTTTTTCTTGTATTTCTTCTTAGGAATAACATTTTGCACATTTTATTATAAGCGAAATTTTTTAGCACAGTTTTTACACTGCAGTAAAGTCTTAAAGAGTAACGTAACGAATTCTGCTTTTGGAATATGTTTGACTCTCTTATAGAAATGTTTTGTGTTTGAAATATCTTTCATCTAGGCTCAATTATACAGTAGAAAAGCTCTTGTTTCACGCCTTAAATTTAATCTTATGAAAGGAGGGGGGGGGGGCACGTTTCATGTTGCCCCCTCTCCAGTTACGGCCTTAGGAGTAAATCTACAGGGTGTCCCATATCATATTAGATCGTCAATAGGTCTAAATTACAATTTTCGGGACTAATCAGAAAATTTAAGAAGAATAAATCATTATGAAAAATTGAATAAGGCTAATAGAAAAATTTTCTTGAAGAAAATGTTTTTGAATATCATATGTTTATTTTGGCGTTAAAGTTTTGAAATAATCTAATATGATATGGTACGCTCTGTATACAAAATAATCTAATATGATATGGTACGCTCTGTATACAAAATAATCTAATATGATATGGTACGCTCTGTATACAAAATTCATCATGTCTAACTAATCAACACATTTTTAGATGAATTATAGAATACAAATAATTCAATATGAAATATAAATTTTTATGAAATAAAAAATCTAAAATGTAAAACATTATACATTTTCCCCCCTTTTTCCTTTTCCTAACTATTTAGCCTATCCTGTGAGCTGCGTCTCAGAAAGGCCTCCCGCCCCCCTTTAAATTGATTTTTTGGTAAATCTCCATTTTTTAAGTGCAGAATTTCTTTCAGCAGGAATTAGCGCGCTCCTTCATTTCTATTAAACACGCTGTATAAATATCCTACCCCTATATATTGGCAAGTTATGAGGAGGGAGGGAAGGCAAACCACGCCTTTTTTTCGTTCGACCACAAATGACATTTTAATTATTCAAATTATTAATTAGATTTTACACCCACGTCATGTTGTTTATAAAGGTTTAAACTATTTTATCCTGGTGTTTGTTTAAAGAAGAACATCTTTTGAAGGTATGTACAGTAGGCATAAAACAATTCATGCAAATCTTCGTTTCACAATCCCTCAAACTGATTAAAACCAATTGTTATGTTTCCTACTTAACAAATATCAATTTTTAGTTGTAGATCCTAAAAGTCCCATCGCGTACTATCACCTTAAAGCTGCAGTTTAAGAGTAAAATAAGTGAACATAATTTCCTGACGAAATATAGGTTTGGTCCGGACGAAAAATAGATGTGGTACACATGTTTTCCTTTTTTTGTTGCTAAATTGGGCTTAATTATCTTTTAATTTTTTTTAACAAACTGCTTTTAAAATATATATATTGAATAACATGACGTTGCCTAAATTTGAAAAAAAGTGACATAAAATAATACATTTGAAAACACAGAAGGAACGCTCGGACAAAAAAAGTGTCGTCGGAAGAAATAAAATGGTGAGTTAAGACGTCATTTATAGACGTAAAAATGGTGTGGTGTGTCTTCCCCCCGCTTTTATAAGTGGTGTAAGTAGTTCTACTGAATCTTATACTCTACTCCTGTTCTGCTCTCCGGACAGAAATATTTCATATTTTCGGATTTATGGTCCCTCCTCCTCCTCTTTTACAATTACTCCAAGTTGGCTCTCCGCGCTCTGTCAATTTTCTGTTCTCCTTGTAGAAATCAGGGTTTAGGATCCTGAACCCTACGCCCTTATCCGAATATATTAATCCGCTTTATGCTCTGCCACTGTCCTGTTCTCCTGATCGATATTTTAAACAACTCTGACTAAACTTTGCGCCTTATCCGAAGAAAAAGAAACCTTTATAAGAAAGAGTAGCTAAGTCGCTAAGTAGATCTGTAAAACTTTTCAACTGCCTTATTGGTCTATAAGTTGCACGTTTTTAACAATTGCGATAACTAAAAATCACAAGTTTTCGTTTACCTAAGTTTTGTTTATCTGATATGAACATATAGAAAGAAAGCTGGATTGTAAACCTCTAGGCTCTGTGAGAGTTCTCCTATCCTGATAGTGAATTTGAACGGAGCGGAGACCAAGCCAATTTTTTACTCCAGTTTTGCTTAACGAAAAAAATATGTTCACATTTTTTGTTTCCATCGTGCCATATTCGCAATATTGTGAATCTGTTTGCCAATTTGGCACATAGGTCCTTCAAGTGTTCTGTACTCCTGATTAAATAAAACTTAAACTGAGTCAAGTCATTGATTCTCTTTCATAGAAAATAACTTATAAATAGATAGATAAATAGATAATGTAGAGAATGTAAATCCCCCAAAACGATCATTGAATAGATTTATATTTAAAATTATAAAAAATAATCCGACGACATTCATTTGTGTAGGATTATTCAGTAACTTTTTAAAATCAATTTGTATGCAGGTCTGTCTCACACAAATGTATAGGACGTACCGTGTCCGTATCTGAGCGGGGAGGGGGACAAATATGTCCCCTCTCTGTAAGATTCAATTTATAGTAAAATAAATACTTTTTCACTGAGTGTGTGTGGGCTCGGTAGGCTTTGTCTACTCCTTGTTTAACCTGTGTAGTTTGTAGAATTGTACATCCCCCCATACGGTAATCGTCAAAAAAGTTCTCTGATAAAAGACCCAGGAATCTAAAACTGAGGACTTTATTTCCAGCACTGTCCTTGAACTGTATTTCAAGGTTTTTTCTTTCTTACATAAATCCACCCCNACTTCTAGTTTGACGAAGTAATTATTTGCAAAGATTAAAGACTATTTTCAAGTTAACTCTGAACTGTCATGTTTCGTGGGACACCCTGTACATCAGAGTAAGTTAAAAAAAAAATCAGTTCTTAATCTAACTATCAGATCTTCCTCTCAGAGTATCAGTTCCTTCTCCCAGAGTGTCATCAGTTCATACTGCCAGAGTATCTGTTCCTTCTCCCAGAATATCCTTTCCTCCTCCCAAAGAGAATCAGTTCCTTCTCCTAGATTAACAGTTCCTTCTCCCGGATTAACAGTTCCTGCTCCAAGATTAACAGTTCTTACTCCCAGAGTATCAGTTCCTTCTCCCATAGTATCAGTTCCTTCACCCAGACTATCAGTTCCTCCTCTCAGAGCCAGTTCCTTCTCCCAGAGTTTCATTCCTTCTCCCAGATTAACAGTTCCTTCTCCCAGATTAACAGGTCCTCCTCCCAGATTATCATTTCCTACTCCCAGACTATCAGTTCCTTCTCCCAAAGTATCAGTTCCTTCTCCCAGAGTATCCGTTCCTTCTCCTAGAGTATCAGTTCCTTCTCCCATAGTAACAGTTTCTTCACCCAGAGTATCAGTTCCTTCTCCCGGATTAACAGTTCCTTATACTTCCAGAGTATCAGTTCCCAATTCCTTCTCCCAGAGTATCAGTTCCTTCTCCCAGAGTATCAGTTCCTTCTCCCAGAGTGTCAGTTCCTTTTCCCATAGTATCAGTTCCTTCTCCCATAGTATCAGTTCCTTCTCCCATAGTATCAGTATCATCTCCCATAGTATCAGTTCCTTCTCCCAGACTATCAGTTCCTTTCTCTCAGAGAATCAGTTCCTTCTTCTAAAGTATCAGCTCCTTCGCCCAGATTAGTAGTTTCTACTTCCAGAGTATCAGTTCCTTTTCCAAGATTATCAGTTCCTCCTCCCAGAGTATCAGTTCCTTTTATCAAAGTATCAGTTCGTTCTATCAATGTATTAGTTCCTTCTCCCAGATTATCAGCTCCTTCTCTCAGAGAATCAGTTCCTTCTATCAAAGTATCAGTTCCTTTTCCCAGATTATCAGCTCCTTCTCTCAGAGAATCAGTTCCTACTTTTAAAGTATCAGTTCCTTCTCCCAGATTAACAGTTTTTACTCATGCAGAGTATCAGTTCGTTCTCCGAGATTATCAGTTCCTTCTATCAAAGTATCAGTTCCTTTCTCTCAGAGAATCATTTCCTTCTTCTAAAGTATCTGTTCCTTCTCCCAAAGTATCAGTTTTCCCAAAAATATACAAACCAAAGATCCCAATATGCCCCTTTACCCGCAGTATGAAGTAAAAATGAAAGTGCCCCGAGTCTCCATGTGATCCTCGGAGCTAGGGTTGGGATGGTTTTGGTTCTTTCTCATATTACATCATCCAAACTATCCCAGACTCTCACGGGACTTTGCACAAGAAATATATAACTACAGAGTGAACGACAGAAAAACAAACAGTAAAACATCTTTCAGAAAAAATATCATTTTTCAAAATTTCCAAAAAATTAGTAGAATAGAACACAGCGGTGAAATACCTACTCTTCTTTTAACATCTCGTGATTTTTGTTAGAATTTAATCTCTATTTTATCGATTCTTAATCCAGGCAGAAAATCCGGGAAAAGGATGAGGAAATTTACAGACTGAGGAAGTGATTAGCCCTGAGAAAAAGTGTTATCTATGTTTAGTTCTTTATTAAGAACAAAGTAGTGCAAGATCATCTGTTAACATAAAAACTAATATAAGAATTCTTGATGGAATACAACTTTACAAGTGACCGCTCCCCGCATATCGATGTGAAGGTCAACTTGATGCTATGCGGTCAAGCACCTTCTGTGAGTCACGTGAGATAATTTGGCCTCAAAACATCCGGGACTTTCTTTCCGGCCAACTCAGAGTCTGAAAGACAGAGAATTCGTTCAGTAGGATCTGACAACCACAGAGACAATATGGTAAACAGTTTTCTCTTGAAAAATATCTTCAACATTATTGAACAGATGAAGGTTTTAAGGGTACCGTTGTAAACCCGGTATTGATATCTTTGTCTAGAGGGCCCACTTGAAATTACCCGTACGCTCCCTTTGAGTACAAATTATCCTAAAGTTTATGAATGTTTGTTGACTAGCCTATCTACATGTCTGTTTCTACTTTTGAAATTTCATTTTGTTTTGTTCAGTTGCACGCTCTAAAGAATTGAAATGTTTATTTTGAAGTAAGAAAAATAGTATTCCTCTGCATCTGTTTCCTTTTAATAATAGGGCCCGGCGTTGCCCGTGGATTTTTTTTTTTTAAATTGAAAAAAGAAGACGTTTTTAGCCTATAACACCCATGAGTGTCCACAACAAATATCAGCCCATTCGGTCCAGATGTTTGGTCGGCTATAAGGCAACATATATATAATTATGTCTTGTTTTATTATATAGAAGATGATACAGTCAATTTATCTTAAAAGGGAAAATGTTGTTGGGAGAAATGTGACTTTAAAACTTGACTGAACAATATTCTTTTATGCAGACAATTATTAATATAGGAAACATAGTTCTGATTTTCACGAGCATGAGCTTTACAGATATAAACCTTATAGAGTATAACATCCCCCTCATCATACCACACCGGAGAATGTATGTTGAGCACATTTGTATAGCTTGAAGGGACTGTATGCGTAATTACAAGTGTCCTTGAAAAAATTGGAATGTCTGATTTATAGCAACCATACCCTACATTCCTCTATAAAGTTAAAAGTGTTTAATTCTGATAATTCATAAGTTTCCTTTGCATGGAGGAATGTGCAGGTTTTGTAGAGAAAACACAATTGAGGCTTTTAGGTTTCAAAACTATAAACATGCATATCTAAATCATACTTGATCCTACTCAGCTTTCAGGTTTCAAAACTATAAACATGGATATCTAAATCATACTTGATCCTACTCAGCTTTCAGGTTTCACAATTATAAACATGGATATCTAATATCAGGGGTACTGTTGTGAATGAGGGATTGCCATCTTTGAAAGGAAGGTTTCTTGAGATTACGCTCAAAGTCCCTTAAAGACGGAAAATTTTGAATTAATACCAAGTTTAGGACTTAATCTTAAATACTGTAGGGAACGGATTTTAATTAGTTCATCAAGGTTCTTTCCGTGAATTTATTAATTAATTAATTTCCAGATGCGATATTTCTTGGCTAATCGGTTTAAATGGTTAAATCATATATCTTTAAAATTTACTTCGTGATAGAAAATTAAATTTGTTTTCGTGCATTTCTGTCATATCAATCAGTCCATCAAGATGTTAAGTAGGGAAAAATATTAGTTTAACTTGATACATTTTCTCCTAAATGTGATATTGCAATCATCTTTTCACTTGATCAAAATTATCTTAAATGCCGCGTCTATATTCTATAAAGCACTTCAGATCTACTCCTTCTTTAAAGATGGCACATGTGTGCATTTGCTAAAACTTACCCAAGCAGTCAAATCATCTGTTCAAGTTCGTCATGATCTCCACAAATCTTACTATTCAAGGGCTGAACATTTTGATGGATGAACTCGTTTTTATACAGTTAACCCAGTAACTCTGACATCGATAGAATTTATAGAATGTAAAATTCTTAACTTTCTGATGATGGAATGTTGCAGATATTTTTTAGTTAATTATATGGGAGCTCTTTAGAACTGTTCCCGCGTGTTCATGGCTATTCTATTTTTACAATTAGCTGAGATTTACATACAGTAATTAGCCCAGAACTTCGGAGACATCGAAAAAATTTATAAAATATCGTCTTATAAACCTACTGATAATGGAATGCTCCAGATATTTAGTTTTTTTTTATTTAATAATTGTATGGAGCTCCTTAAAACTGTTCCTGCATAATATTATCTATTAAAAATACAAAATACAAAATTATATTATAAGCAAACCTGTGGCTCCTGTGGGATATAAGCGTTTTCAGATTGGTTGCGTAATTGTTGAATATAATCTGTTTAATGCTACAACTTTTATTCAAAATCTGACATATGTCCGTTTTGGTATAATTTTGACACAGTTTTATGTCAATTTCTCGAAACAGGAACATCAGATAGATGTCTTATATGTATCGTTCAACTCCTGAGATTCTCAGATTTTATCCTATACCCCTTTTCATTTTTCCTTTACAGTCCCTTTAAACTTTTGAAAAGTATTTGTTAAATATGATATTTCACTGCAAACATATTCTTGGATACTGGTGATTACTACTAATTATTTCTCTTAACATTGTTTAACTATAATTTATAACTCTTATGTTTTATTCACACAAGTTGTTAGCTGTTGGTTAGCTGTCATGAAAGTACAAATTTTCTAAGAAAAGCATTCTCTTGCTTTTGCATTTATGATCACATTTAAAATATGTATTTTGCATTTCAGCATTTATTCTGTACTTTTCGAGGGACCTCGGCCATATTTACATGACGAGATATTTATCCCGCATTTTTCAAATGTATTTAATTGCAAAAAATATTTTTAATGTGAGCTAAGTTGAACCTTTAAACAATTTCAACCGAAAAATTCAAAACTTGAAATTATATTTTACGAAAGTGAACTAAACTTAAACCTCCCCCCCCCCCAAATTA